ATATATATAAAGAAAATAAATTACTTATTTTGATGCATCAACCATAAGATCATAAGATGTAAGAAGATATGCATGTAAAATTCAGGTTTAGTAGTTGAATATGTAAATACGTGGGAATTGAGCGGTTTGCATGTAAATCTTTAAAAAAATAAATATGAAATACAAAAATATAGGGATTTGGATGATTAAAGTGTAATTTTTTTAATTTAATTAATTATAATTCTATATTTCATATTTTATATAATTAATAAATAACAATTCCTATTCTCTTTATCCAATTAAAAGAAATAATAAAAAACTGGTTTTCTTTCTTTATTTTAGCGGAACGACAGGTGGTGCTTTTTGCCCTTACCCGCCGCCATGGCTGTTTCCGGTCGTTCTGGTTTTCTTTACGTCATCTGGATTAGGTGCGGCAGCGTTCACGGGTTGACATGGTCAGGTTCTTTCCGCGAAACTTAATAAGTTCTCAGTTTTGATTTCGCCTTCAATTCTATCCGAAAGAGCGGCCGCCGCTTGCTTTGATTTGAAGTTTATTTTTCGTCAAACTATATAAATCCGACATCCTTTCATCCAACGCTTCCGTTTCTTATCCGTTATTCCGTTTCTTAAGGCATCTAGCATAGGGATTTCAACCTTGTGAGTGGAACTTTGTTCTGAAGGCTCTGGGAATCTTGTTTTCGTGAGGATTTTGTTTTGATTTGATGGGGGGGAGAGGATCTAAAGAGGACGGGAGGCGGAGTTTTAGATCTGCTGATTCTTTCCGTAGTGGAGGCTACGCTGAAGAGCAATATTCGATGCCGCGGTATGGAGGGGACGTGTCGGGCTATCAGGAGTATTTGACTTCGACTACGAGCTATGGTGCTCCTCAGGCAACAGGGTATTCTCAGCCATATTCGGCTCCTCAGGCTTCTGCCACCAGGCAAACTCGGAAGTTGGATCGGAGGTATTCAAAGATAAGTGACAACTACAATTCATTGGAGGAGGTATGACAAATGTTTTTTTTTTTTTATTTTGTGCTGTTTTATTTTTGCATTTTATGGTGAAAATGAGGGATTTTGGCTTTCAATAAAGATTTTTTTTTTAATCGTGAGTTGGGACTTGCTGACATGCCATCAATTTACATACATATCACACAATTATTGTGTATTTAAATATCTAGCACAACCTTTAATATTTATGTTCATAACACCCAAATCTTTAACATCACATCAAATATATTATTTTTATTAATTTTTAAATGTTAAAGGCACATTTTTATGCATAGGAATGCCAAACTTTAGGCATTAAATATGTAAATTCTTTGTAAATATGCGGTACTTATGAAAATGTCCCCTTTTTTTATCTTATCGGAAAGCAAGTTTTATATTTGTTTATGATTTGAGCCAATTGACTTTGCTTTAGTATATTCTTTTTTTTTTCTGTTTTTGTGCTTTCTTATCATGTTTCCGTCTTAGCTATGAAGAATGATCATTATTATTTGATGAATTTTTAGACATCAAAGCTTTGGTGGCAACTGGCAAACCAGCAATCCTTTTTTTTATTGTTTTTCAATTTCAAATAAATTTTTTTTCCTTTATTTCTGTAGTTGGACTGTATGCTTAAGCACTTTAGAAATTTGTCAACCTTTAACAAAATAGAAGTCAAAATTTTTGCAATAGGGAATTTTCAGGAGATTTATGAAATTTCTTTCTCTATTCATTGGCACTTCCATTTCATAAGGGAATTACATATTTGTCCACATGCTGTTACATTTATGTCTGGACATAGAGTTCAGGTGTTGGCTGGCAAACTGGCTTTAGATCACAGTTTTGTTATTGTAGAGAGCTTCAAGTAAAAAGATTTTTCGAAAATATGTGGCTTTTATGTTCTGAGATGCTTCAAAGTCATTTAAAAGATGGCCTTTGATGCTTTGAGGTGCTTCACTGTTTAAGAGGATAGATAATATCTTGACAGTATATTATTTATATATTATTTGGTGACAACTTTTTAAATAAAAATCATTTTAGTTTAAATGTACTAAAGAAACATAAAAAAAATAAGAATAGGCTAAGGGGGAGGGGAATTGTGTTGATAATTATATTAATTTTGTTTTTTATAATTATTTATTTTATGTTTTTCTTAAGTCAATGGAAAAGAGTAATTGAACATAGGCTAAGATGTAATACCATAATCAGTTTGGATTTATGTCAGGCAGGTCAACTGTGGAAGCTATACATTTATTGAGAGGTTTAATGGAGAAGTACAGAGAGAGTAAAGAGGATCTACATATGATTTTTATTGATTTAGAAAAAACTTATGATAATGTTCCAAGAGAAGTCCTCTGGAGAGTTCTAGAAAAGAAAGATATTGATATGATTTAAATTCAAGTCATTAAAGATATGTATACTAAAGTTGTTATTTTGTGTTTGAACAGAACGATGATTGACTAAGTATCTTCCTATTTTAGTTGGATTACATAAGGGATCGGCGTTAAGCTCATATCTGGCTTTAAGCATATATCTTTTTGCTTTAGTTATGGATGCTCTTACTGTACATTTACAGGATGATGTACATTGGTGTATGATTTTTGCTGATAATATCCTTCTTGTGCATAAGACGAGAGAAATAGTTTAGGAAAAACTTGAATTATGAAGGTTTATATTGGAGTATAAAGGTATTTGTTTAAGTAGATCGAAAACTGAATACATTGAATGTAATTTTAGTAGTTGCAGAGTTGTAATTATGGGTGATTAAATCATTAAAAGGTGTGAACGTTTTAGATATCTTGGGTCTATTGTTCAAAGTGATGATGATATAGAATTGGATGTTATTAGTAGAATTCAAGTTGGTTGGTTGAAGCAGGGTAATTCATCAGGCCTATTGCGTGATAGAAAAGTATCGCTTAGACTTAAAAGAAAATTTTATGAGATTGTGGTGAAACCTGCAATGTTCTATGACGCAGAATGGTGGCCTTTAAAATAGAAGCATAAAACAAAGTTAAGTGTTGTTGTGATGAGAATGCTTAGTTGGATGAGTTGTTTGACACTTGAATACAAAATGCGAAATGAATATATCCATGATATGGTTGGTGTAGCTCCAATGGCGGACAAAATTAGAGGGAGTCATTTTACATTGTTGGTCACATTAAACGTTGACCTTTTAATAATCCGGTTAAGAGAGAAGATGTTTTAGATTATACTTATGTTAACAAAGGCAAAGGTAGACTTAAAATACTTGGGCATAGTGTATAAAAATAATCTTAATCTATTAGAATTAAATGAAAATGAATTAAATGAAAATTTGACATTCTTTGACATTCAATAGGACGCAGTGGAGAAAAAAGATTCATGTAGCCGACCCCACTTAGTGGGGTAAAGGCTTGTTGTTTTTGTAATTCAATGGATGTTATACTTTATGGATGCACGAAATGTTTGTTATTTTTAGTTTAAATTTTGTGGCTGTTGGATTATTTTTCAATCAAACATAACATTTTGTAAACTAATGTTAATTTATCTTGAATTGGACAATTGTATTATTTATTTATCAAAGGTTGTCGCTTTTTTTTTTTTTTTTTTGGAATTATACGTAAAATTTTGAAAAATAATGTTAATTTATGTTGAGTAAGTTATTATTAAAAGTTTTTTTAATGAATTTAAATGTTGCATTTTTTTATTTGGTCTATTAAATAAGATACTATTCTCATTCGTATTAACTGAATAATAATATAGTTTGTAAAAGTATTTAAATGATTTTTATGGTGTTATATTTTAAAAAAAAGCTTCAAGTTTACTTATTAAGACATCGCTTCACTCTTTAGCAATAATATCCTCTATGTTGTCTAGTTAACTCTTACATGCATTTGATTTCATTTCAAATGCATTTATTGGTTGTGTTTGACATTGATGTTGTCCAATCACAGCATAGATGTTATTCTGTGGCACCATTCTATTTCTATTATTGTCTTTTTTAGTCACTCTTTTAACTATATTTTTGGTAGCTTTTGTTGTATTTTTTCTGGCTTTTGATTGTATTTTGCATCAACCATTCAATATAGTTAAAAGCGTGCATTAGGAGTAAAGCGAATCAATACGTTGCCCTGTTTATTGCCTACTTGTAAAGTGCATGCTCACATTCAAGCGTGGGTATTATGCCGCTTCACCATTTCATGTTGTAGCATTGCACACTTTGCTATATCTCAAAATAAAATCTTAGTTCAAATTTCATTGGTGGCTTAATTACTGCAGCAATAACTAGGCACAAATATTCACGTATCATTATTTTTTATGGTTATTGAGTTGTTTTTTATCAGTTCTACGGTCTCTTTTGAAACTTGTTTATTATTAGTGATTCTTCTCTTTATGCTCTCTTCATTGCTAGTTTTTTTATCCGCTTATCATCGGTTCTTGCTACTAGCATTAATAGGTCCTCTTTTATAAGTTTTTCTTTAGGTCAGTACTCATTACTTCATCTCCACATTGTGTCTCGCTTTATGATGTTTTGCCTCTTTGTTTGTACTTTGGTTACTCGATCTCGCGTGTATTCTAGATTTTAGATCTCTAAAGTTCATATATATATATATATATATGAACATTTTTGGACTACAATCGAAGTTGCATGTCGATACTCATTAATGAACATTGACATAAAGAGTGATTTCTGTTTTATCGTATCTATCATTGAAATCATGGTTGGACACATTATTCATCATTTCATATCCTTCATTAGTGTATCTCAGTTCTAAATAAAAAATTACACCCAAAATCTTGTAGTCACAATAGCTCACATCATCGTGACATTATTGTGTCACGCTTATCACCAAATAGGGGTAGAAAACAATTTTTTGGACCTATTTTTTAGGAGATAAATAAATATTACTTATAATGAACTACCTATATATATATATATTGTGACTAATTGAGAAAGAAATTAGAATATCCCCTGTCAAAGATATAGCAACTCTGAGATGTTTTACTAAGATAATTGGTATAACTTATATTGGTGGTGGAACGGGTGTAATGTTCTTCGCATCAATTAATTCGTTATGAATAGCATACATTCTCAAAGTCTGCTAACATACCTCAATTCAAATGTTGACATGTGAGATTTCAGAATTATCATTTTTGTCCCTTCGACACAGTCTGCTTTGGAACTTATTTTGTCTGCTTTTGATCTTTTTTTGGAATTTTTTTTTTTTTTTTTTTTTTTGCTTACATTGATAAGTGTAAATTCTTCATTTTCGCTCAATTAACCATGATAATGCAGGATCAAGCACACTAATTGATTACTCATTATTTATATTATTTCTCTATTCTAGGAGTATACTTTAAATTTCATAGGTGCATTTGGGAAGATTATGATGGCCGTGGTCGTAACTAATCCCAACCAAAAATAAATAGTTAAATAAGCAATTCTCTAAATTTAAAATTACCCGACTAATTCATAACATACAAATTAGCTCTTACATTAAATAACTCATAAACATGTTTTCATAAACTAATATTACCTTCTCATAAAACAAATTTAATTGATTTAATAGTTCTCTCATTTTATCTTTTTAAGTATGTATATAACTTCAATAAAATAGAAAATATTATCTTTAAAAATACATATTACCAAACATAGTCTTCAAATTTGAAGAAAAAAAGGTTAATTGAACACTTTTTCAAAGGCTGAAAAGAAAACTTCATATTCGTAAAAAAATAAAAATAATAATGGATAACAATAAATAAAAAATATGCTACAAAGAGTTAAAATAATTAATCACAAAAAAATCTGCAATAAGTTGCGTTATCTAGAAAAAAATAATAGCATATAAAAACACAAATTCAAAAATACAATCCAGTCAAGTTTGCTATTGAGGATATTTGGGTGGTACATATTCAAAGAAGTAGAACTAGAAAGGTGGTGAGGAGTGAGAGAAGTGAGGAGAGAAGAGGAGACGAGAAAATTCAAGGGAGGGGATTAGATAGAAAAGCACTGAGCATTGAGCACCCAATTTTTGTAGATCACTCGGACATATATTGTCTATATGTTGTGCATAAGGCTAGAATGAGAAGTTTTAAAACAGAGGATGCATTTCTTATGTTTTTGAGCTACAGTGACAATATTAAGAAGAAGATGAAAAACTAGTTATTTCTTGACGTTATTAATATAAAGATTTCAATTGATTTAAATACCTATTCTGTCATTAATTATTGAAATGTTATTGATAATGGAATAAAGTATTGAATGGATGCAAAAGGACATAATTTGCAATATATTTGATGTGAAAAGAAAGTGCTTTATAAGCCAGTGCATAAAGGTTTAAATTTATGTCAGCAATTAATATCGATGGCTTAGATTGATTGAATGCACTATTTATCATAAAACAGCTAGTCGTTTTTAAGTAGGGCTTTAATTAAATTGTTTTAATTTTGTTTAATTTCTAAAGGGGTTGACAAACTATCACACTTGGTCAATTATGTTAATTGCTTATTGTTTGTATTCAAATGCATTTTATTTTTTATCTAAGGCTTAGACTGTCAGCCCATTATGTAGGTCCTTGTTCATATTGTTTAATTTTGTGCTCGGGAACTTCTTCTAGGGCAAACTTTCGAGTCTAATTTCCCTTCCTTGAATTTTCTAACAATGTTTATTTTATAGCTAACAATGGTCAGGGTAGGTTGACTTTAATGCCTATTTTTCATCATTTTTTTTTGTTTCACATGCACACCTCTATGCCTGTGCACTTGTTGCACATTTGCGTGCATTTAAGAGAGAGGGAGGGAGGGAGGGAGGGAGGGAGGGAGCGAGGTGAGGAATCTCCTCTATTTACCTTTGTCATTTATTTTCTTCATTAGGTTGCTTCATTGTCATTTGGAGGTAACAATTCAATTTACAAAAACAACCTCTCGATTTGTACCCTCAATCTTACATGGGCAAGGGTCTCGTGCATTGGATAGACTTATTTCGTTTTCATGATTTTACAAATCGCATTCTCATAAGATTCAATCGTACCCCCTTTTTACGTGTGAGCCAGCTTTTTGATATTTTGACCCAATTTCAAGAGTTAATTTGTATGGCAAAATAGAGAGGTGCTTCTCATTCTATGTCTAAAATTAGAATTAATGTACTTTGTTTTATTGCTATACATGTTTTTTTCACCTGAGACAATAAAATTTAATTTATTAGTTAACTCTGTAACATCAGAATAATATTATGACTTTGCTGTGGAACAGGTGACTGAAGCTCTTGGTCGTGCAGGTCTTGAGTCTTCAAATCTTATTGTGGGTATTGATTTCACAAAGAGCAATGAGTGGACAGGTAGATGCCACTCATGTTTATCTTCAATTTCTTTCTTATTTGCCTGTGTGTACAACTAACATTTTTTCAATTACAGGCAGATTCTCTTTCCATAATCGCAGTTTGCATCACCTTGGCGATGTTCCAAATCCCTACGAACATGCACTTTCTATTATTGGACAAACATTATCAGCTTTTGATGAGGACAACTTGATTCCGTGCTTCGGATTTGGCGATGGTAAGTAGAATTGCATTAATTAAACACATGCCTTTTAATAAGGGAAATTTATATACCACACAGTTCTTATGTATTTACATATCTAACACCCAAGTTTGATGTTCACGCTTGTAACACTGTGCCATAAACCTACGCATTGCATGGTGCATTTCATTTTTAAGAATATAGTGATGGTGGTATTTTTATATGATTTCAAATATTTGAATGGTATGCATACAATTATAATTTTTAGGTGTTTTTAGGTGTTAGATGTAAATACATAAGAATTTTGTGTTATGTATGTAAATGCTGCTTTACTTGTTCAATCCAAACTTAACGCATGTCTTTCATTCTTAGCTTCAACACACGATCAGGATGTTTTCAGTTTCTTTTCGGATGAGAGGTCGTGTGTCGGGTTTACAGAAGCTTTGTCTCGCTACAGAGAAATTGTTCCGCATTTGAGATTGGCAGGTATTTGTGTAATCATTGTCAACTATGTAGTTTATTTAATTCATTAATTCTAATAATCAACAGATTTTTACTCAAGATGTTTACGCTTTACAGGCCCGACATCTTTTGCGCCAATCATCGAAATGGCCATGACTATTGTTGCACAAAGTGGTGGACAGTACCATGTTCTATTGATCATTGCTGATGGGCAGGTATTGTCATTATTGATTTACATATATCAACTGGGCTTCTTGAAGCCTTTGCAATATTCCAAGGGGCTGTTTGGGCTCACTTTTGTTTTTTATTTTATTTTGTTTATGTTTTGATTAGAAACAAATTATGTTTCGTAAGTTTGATTAAGATATGTCTGTTGTTGAGGACACTCAAAACATCTAAAATTTTTGTGTTTTCAAAAATATGTTTTTTCCATTTTTAGAAACAAAAAGTAAACATATATTTAAAACATATCAAACAAATATATTTTTAAAAACAAAGGAAAAAAACAAAAACAAAACCAAAAATAAAATTGATCCCAAAAAACACTAAATCTGTTTCTATGATCAAACAATAGTTGAATGTTAGAAAGAAATGTTCGTGGTTTTTTTTCTTCTTTAAATTGACTGTGGGAGGAATATTGAGTCTTTTCTTTTTTTATATATTTCTTAGATATTGAAATTTTTGTTTGCTTGTGTTATGATATGGAGTTATTGATGGATGTATAGAGATTTACCAAGTCGAATCCATATTGGCATGATTCAGTAACTATAAAAGCTGAAGAAACCTATGGGCTGTTTGGCCTTTTAGGCTTTTTGTTCAACATAAGTGTTATTTAGATGTTACTGTTATCCCTCAAATGTTATATGTTTAGTTCAGTGATTATATTAGAAGATGTGCTGTATAGATTATAAATGTTTATTTTAGTGGTACATTTAAGATTTAGTGTGCTCAGGACAAGATTATTAGAAATCTTCTTCCACCCAAACCTGAAAAGGACATTTTGCTATAGGTAGTACCAAATAAGAAAATCAAAATCAAAATTTTAAGTAGTCTATGTGGATATCAAAATAAATAGTTGAATTGTTCTGTTTCCAAAGGCCAACAAGTTTTCAGGAATTAAAAATGAGGGACACTTACAGTGGAAAATGACATTGACATAGATGTGGCTTGATCAGACAGTTTTTTTACCAGATTGAATTAGAATATAAAAAATATTTTAAATTTGTCATTACAATATGTTACCTGCATAATATTTGAATATAATAACGTAACATCACATTGTTGATATTGATGAATCAAACAACATCTTAGAATTGAGAAAAGGGTCAAAATGGCTCTCAGACTCTTTGTCAGTGTTCATTTTAGTCCTGGAGTCTATTGTGTCAATTTCGTCGCAGATTTTTATAAAGGAATCTTAAATAGTTATCTTTGGGGACTATTTCAGCCATTTTAAAATAGTTTGAGTACTAATTTGACACTTTTATATACTCTTGGACCAAAATAACCCCATGTAAATAATCAAGTGACCATTTCGGCAATTTACTCCCGTAGAATTGATAACCAACTTCTTCGTGTTATTGATATCATAAGACGTAATTGCTGTGTAACTTATCTAAAGTAGGACATCTAATAGAAGTAACATTGTATCAAGTCAAAATCAACGCTGCGGGGATTGTTTTTCAGCTTACCGCACTTAACTGCAAGGCAGTTTTCCCAAGTTTGTTTATTTATTGAATTTTATGGTCCGTTAATAGTATATTTTACTTTGATCTCATACCCCTTCTTTTATTCATTTGAAGGATCAATGCTTGCGTATTTGTGTCAGTAGAGAATGATTGCTTATGTCGCTGCACTCTTCGGGGAAGGAGGAATTATTATGGCCTTAAAAGAAGCCTTACTTGAAATGTTAATATCTATTGAGTCTGAAGAGAGTTTTTAAAATTAATATTGTGATTATGAGGAGGGCAAAAATGAGTATAACTTATTTTGCTTATAAGCTTTTAAAAAGGTTATTTGATATTGATTAAGCATGTATGGAGGAAGTAGGCTAAAGCTAGCTTTATGGAACTTCAAAGATACAGCAAAGGCAGAATTAACATCAACATTTTAGTCTGTGTGAAACTTATGCGGAAGAGTCATTAAGTCTAGTCCCTATAGATGATCAGGAGATGAAAAAGATGGCAGCAGGACAAATTTCCCTTTTTAAGAGTTTATATTTTATGAATTGATTGTCCTCATGATTTCCATTGAGGACTCACTTTCTCACTAGAAGTTATTAATTGACAGGTAACCCGAAGTGTAGATACTCAATCTGGCCACTTGAGCTCACAGGAGCAGAGAACTGTTGATGCTATCGTCAAGGCCAGGTAATTTTATGACTTATTACTAATTTCAAATTCTATGAGTAGCCCTTGAAGATATTTTTGGTGAATTTGGTTTCAATATATGTTCCTTATGAGGTGCTTGGCTTCATTGGATTGCTTTATCATGATTTTGTTGTAAATTATATTACAGTAGCCATTTAGAGTTTCTGACATATTCCATATTAGTTTTTTAAAACTTTTAACAGAATGAAACTATTTGTGAATTGATTTTCTCTAAGCTTTACTTCACCAGTGGAGTTTGAATTTTGCAAGAATAGACCCCCTTTCGAACCAAAACTCTCTTTGTTTAATTCCTAGCGAAATTCTAATTGAGATTATTATTGGCACTCGAAATATAGTAAAATATTGTTTGTTTTTGTTCTTTCATGAGACAGATTTTGTAGGTTTGCATGCATATTGTGAAATATATGAACTCTAGTTTACATGATCATTTTTTTATGCATGTTTTTTTGTGTCTGGTTCACTCCTAAGCAGAACAATTTTCATTTTTTTTTAATATGACGAATGAGATCAAGTTTAGCATATATTGCTCCTCTTTTCTTTTCAAATAATTATTTGTCGAAGCATTCCTTATCTTAATTCGTTTTTCTTTGCAGTGAATTTCCACTGTCCATTATTTTAGTTGGAGTTGGAGATGGCCCTTGGGATATGATGAGGGAGTTTGATGACAACATACCTGATCGTTCCTTTGACAATTTCCAGGTGAAATTTTGTTCTTTTTTTAAGGGGTTGGGTGGCGGGTGGGGAATTTATATATTTAGCACACAAATCTTACGTATTTATGTATTTACATATCTCACATCTAGATTTTCATTTTTACTTGTAAAAAGAACTTTGGTGTTTTAAACCTATGCATGAAAATGTTATTTGGCTTTTAAAAAGTGACAATAGTGCTATTTTTAAAGTGATATTAAAGATTTGAATGATGTGTGTGCTATATGAAAGTTTAGTTGTGAGATATGCAAATACATAAAAATTGTGTGCTATGCATGTAAAAGCCCTTTTTTCGCTATGGGGCCCTGGGGAGTGGGGGTTCAGGCCCGGTGTGTGGGGTGGGCTTGGTGAGCCTTTATACTCGGCCTTTTAGGATTTCTTACCATGTTCCTGCCAATGTGCTATAAGTTGGGCCAAAAACTTTGTTCTTCCTCGTACTATCGTTTGAGAAGGCGCAATCAAGTAACTTATTTGTTTTTTTGCAGTTTGTAAATTTTACTGAGATCATGTCTAAGAATACGCATCAAAAAAGAAAGGAGACAGAATTCGCTCTTGCAGCATTAATGGAAATTCCTACTCAATATAAAGCCACAATTGAGCTTGGAATCTTGGGGTATGTCATTTTAAGACTTATTTATTGTTTTGTTCATGTTTCCATAGCATTAGCTGTTTTTCTTTTCTTTTTGAACCCAATATCTTAATTCCACATTATATTTCCTTCATCAGTAATTCAGCAAGGTCTCCTCAAAGATTCGCCTTACCCCCGCCTAATGGAACCCATTCAGCAGCAGCCTTTGGCTCCAAATCTTTTCAATCAACCACTTTTCAGAAGAGTTCCTCATCTTACCCTGCATTTGATTCACCAACTAGCTCTGCTCCATTTGCCTCAAGCGCTTCATCGGATAATCATGTAATGATCCCACAAATTTTCCTTTTTTTTTTTAGGAAATTTACATACATACCCAAAATTCTTCTTATCTACATTTCTAACTCGTAAAGTTAGATATTTATATTTATAGCACCTTGCTGTCATAAGCCTATGCGTGAAAATATATATTTCACTTTCAAAAAGATAATGATAATAGCACTTTTTATGTGATGTTAAAGATTTGTGCGGTTAGCACCAAAATATGAAGGTTTAGGTGTTAGATATGTAAATACGTACGAATTGTATGATATGTATGTAAATGCTCTTTTTTTTTCCTAGTACTTGATTCATTTGTGCTTCTATCTTCTCACAAGTATTTGCATGTTTAACTGCAACTTTACTTTTTTTTTCATAATTTAGTTGTTTGACTAATAATAGCATTCAAGTGTGTATTTTTTCATACAATTTGATGCTCTACTTTATTGGTTTGTGCTGTAATCTGTTAATTTAAAGCATTGATCGAATGGAAGCATTTAACGTTTTTCAAATAAGAAAACTGTAGCGCACTTTAGTTACCGTTTGAGTAAAAAATTCAATTTTTCTTTCTTCTCCTACGGACACTAAAGAATCAAATGCAGTTCTTTAATAAAATAAACTTATAATTCACCCTTCCTTCTTAAATTGAATGATATTCAACAAGAATAATCTCTCTGACTTTGCTGATCGTGCTTATTTCTTAATTAGGTTTGTCCAATTTGCCTTACGAATCCGAAAAATCTGGCCTTTGGGTGTGGGCATCAGGTAAATTTTTTTTTTTCTTACAACGCAATTTCATTTAAATTCCGTTTGGGAAGGCTTTAACATTTTGTAAAGATGATTATAAAGTTATTTAAAATGTTGCGGGAATCAAAAAAATTATTTTTATTTCAAAAAACAGTTTTCTTGCCTCCACATTTTTATAGATTTGGTTATAGAACCTATCTTTTTGCTGCTAAAACTTTTAAAAAGTAATAAGAAAGCAGTTATTCAGACAGAGTTATGGTGATAATTTAAGGAGTTACTCTAAAAGCTTTCCCAAACAGGCCCTTAATGATTTTCAATTCCTCACCATTTCTATTTCTAATCTTGAAATTTTCTCCTTGCAGACGTGCTATGACTGCGGACAGACCCTGGTAAATTGCCCAATTTGCCGCAGTGAAATTGTAACCAGAATAAGGCTTTACTAAGGCTGGCTCTGCCTGAACAAAAAGTCTTATTGGTTGAAATAAAGCAGCTGTTGCAGAATCCCCCTCAAATTCTTGGTTCTTTCATTGGTTTCGTTGACTGATTTGTTGATCCAAGTGTTCAATAGTTCCTTATTCTGTTTGTTTAGTGTAATTCATTTAATGAGAAAGGTGTCTTTGATGTCTGTAATGCCTTATTGATCTGTAGATGTTTATGTTTGTGTGGCAGCATCCTGTACATATATAACTCATCCATCTCTGCTTCCATTTTGATTCATTTGAAACAATCTTTGTTGATTTGGAGAAGGCTTTGTTGTTTGAGATCTTGTGCCTAAATGCTATTTGTAATTCAATTAGTTTTTATGATATTATTTGTTTAGTGAGTAGAGTGCCAAAATGGTGCAAGAATATTTACATGGGATCTTTTCAGTTCCAGAGTTTATATAAGTATGAAAATAGTCTCCAAACTGTTAAATGGAGGTAGAAATAATCCCTATAAAAGATTATTAGAGCTCAATTTTAAAATTATCGGGGGCTATTGGAATTGGGATTAAAACAGCCGCATGTAAATAATCGGGAATTTTGGCACTTCACTTGTTGTTTAACAAACCAAACAATGAGTCGGGCTTTGCTCTATTATGTTTGGCTTGAATGTTATTTATTTATGAGGAAACATATGCGTTTGTATATTTATACATATATAGTTTTGGATATATGCATATATACATGATGATATTTCTATTTCATGGTTATATGATTAATATTCAAGGTAAAATCTAAGACACTTTTTTATCAAACAACAGAATTAATCAAATTTCTTATTAAATGCCTAAAAAAATTATTAGATTTACGCGTGAGATTTAAATCCAAACACACTTGAATTTAATAATTTTTTTTTTTTACAAAAAAATGTCTTATAAAAAAAGACGTGAAATTATATAATAAAATATAAGATATCTGAGAGTGAATTTTTCAATGCTTTTTTAATGGACTTGAACGCAAAATAACAATAAATATTACATATAAGGATTTTCAATGTGTTCAATAACTATGGTTTGTTATTAAAATATTCATCTTGATATTTATGCCATATATATATATAGATATATATATTATCAATAAAGTTCAAGTTTTTAAAATTTTAATATTGCTAAACAAACGTGGGAGTACGTTGATCCGAGGTAATTAAGAGTGAATATATCATGATATAAAAATACTATACATTTTCAGGAAAACTATCCTCCGACACACAATCTCGAGATATGATAAAAATTTTGATGTAATTTTTTAAGCAGGTAATAAAAGCTCATCTAAAACTCTGATTTTAGCAAAATTATTGTTAAATTGACCGGCTCCACAAGAAGAAACAATGTTGATAAAATTAGTCAAATTCGAGTACAATCAAGCTCAGAACAACTCATTAAACTACACTTTGAAGTTTTTCGGACATATTTAGAAGATTAAACAAATGTCGAATCTTGTAAGCCTATAATCGAATTGAGTATCTTGACAAAATAAATCCAACGAGCTCAAGATTGCTTAATTTCGACATTGTTCAAGCACTCAAATGTCCATCAAACACCGTCTTATTAAAGGTAGTCATCGGACCTATATAATAAAGTGATTCATATTACCGAATTTATTGTACCCATAACAATATAAATAGAGTCACACTTCTCTCATGAGAAAATTCTTGAGGTATGAGGCTTAAGAGATAACTTAAAACGTTGAGAAGAAGCTGATGTCTAGTACCACCCTTGTCGCTGTCGACCCCCGCCAACCGTTATCGGTCACCGCTGACCACCCCCGATCACCACCAATTATCGTCGACCACCACCGAACGAAAGACATCAATCGACATTGTAACTTGGAAAACCTAGTAGTTCTTTCCTGTATGTCGAACAAGTGGTCTCTGTAATCATTTACCTATGATAAATTGTTACAACTTTGTCAGGTTTTATGATTTTTTTTCTTTACGGGTTTTCCACATAAAAACTTCTGATGTCATTATTTTTTATTTTCTTTAATTTGAGTGTATGTTGAATTTTTGTGCAATGCTAAAACGATAATTCATTATTCTAACGCGATAAATTTTCTAGAACTCATCAAGATATATAAACACATAGAAATTAGTTGGTATGTATGTAAATTCCCATATTTTGATAGATTTTTTTCGTCAATTCATACAATACCATTTACCACAAAATTCATTTAAATGACACACAATTATTTTTAAATTAATTAATAATATAATTTAACCAATGAATTTTAATTGGAGCAACCGTATTTATTGCTCACGTGGAAAACATTGCTGAGCTGGACAACTGCGCCTTAAGGCGGGCGTGATCCATGTGCCGTCTAGCACGCGCCGGAGCGTGCGGAAACGCGGCAGCCCATGGAATTGATTTCCTCAGACAACCAAAACACGAAACAAAATATCCACCCATTCATACAAATCCACATCAGACAATTAGCCACAATTAAAACTCTTTTTTATTAAAAATATTTTATCAGATCCGGAAAGGCTGCCACGCTGGCCAATTAAAGGGCGAATTCTTCGTTTTATCGTTAGAATTGGCGAGCCAGATAGAAGCTGCGGTTCTCAAGTCACATAGAGAACCAAGTATATTTGAAGAGAAGCCGTTCTGCGGAGCTCCGCCGTTAACGCCATTAAACCTTTCTCTTCTATGGCGTCGTCTTCCTGGTCTCTGGAGATCGCTGGAGGAGGAAGCAAGCCTGTGTTAACCGGTCGAGATTTCAGGCAGAAGCCACGCTATCGCTTCTCTTCGCTCCAGCTTAATACTCCACTCCGGCGCCGGCCGGCCTCATCGGTGCGCGCCTTGGAGTCCCACTCGAACAGTTGCGTCTTGCCGGTGAAGTTCGATTCGTTAACTTGTTCTACCGCACGCGGGAGTGATGGACGCGATCGGATCACGGTGCAAAAGCTGGATGATTGGATGCGAGGCTCCATTGGGGAGGTTCGTATTTTCAATATTGATTTCAGTCATGATTCGTGAATTCAATTAGATGAAATTTTCAAATGTTCTGATTGGGATTGGGGTTAATGTATGGTGCAGATTGTGAGGAATATTGGAAAAGCCCCTTTTCTGGCACGGGTTTTCTCGGATGAATCTGAGTCGAAGCGGGCTGGTTCGTCGTCATCGGGGTTGATGATCGAGGAAGCTGCGACGGCGGAGGGATGGTTAGGGATCAAGCAGCGTTGGGAGCAGGAGAGTTCTGTTCCAGATGGGGTTATTTTGGTGGAAGAACTGGATTCCAAGGAAGAAGATGAAGGTGAGGGAGGCAGGGGCGGCCGGAGTAATGTGAGGTGGGGGGTAGTGGTCCAAGGAAGGGGGTTGGATTGTTCGGCTTGCTATATATTGAATACTTGCAGGGTACGATCATCAATGGGGTTTTGCACGCATTTCTGCTTGGTGAGAGCCCAATGCTTTGGAGATCCGGTGGGAGTGCAGCTGAAGAATGTTTGGCTTCAGAACGAAAGGTAGAAGGTGGCGGGGGAGATGAATTGACTCCATTGATTATTGTGGATAGATCATGGCTTTTATTCAATTTTCATGCTTTAATGCCTCTAAAATGTGAATTTTTAAGGTGTAATTTGTGTTTTCGTGATGAAATAGATACAATTATATTGTTCTGTTTTTTTTTTCATTTTTTTTTAAATTGAAGTATCGGTGGTAGATGTGTAAATACATGAGAATTGTGTGGTATGTATGTAATTCTACAAAAAATAAAGAACTTAAAAATAAATAAAAGACGTACATGAATGATTCTTGCAAGCAAAGCATTGTTGCGTGTTAAAACTTTGAGATAGAGTTGGACAATAATTGATCCGTTGATTTTTAAATATATGAGTGTTTTGGTATGTAATATTAATTTAATATATTTAAGTTAGGATTATAATAAAATGAGAAAGGGGTAATTATGAGATAAATAATAAAAAGGTATTTGATATAGAATTTATTAAAATATTTTAAATGATTTGAAAATAAAATTTTAAAATTTAATATATTTTGAATATAGTTTATATATTTATTATTTTGAAAATGGGAGCAAGCGAGTAAACTTGGCTTAAATGTGCTCTTTTTATTATAAAAAATGGTTCTGATGAGTTATTAAAGTGATGAAAAATGATTGGTTGGGAGCTGTTATTAATAAATGTGATTAGAAAGGATTGTTTTGTTTATTTATGAAAATGACAGCTTGGTTTGGGCTTAAAAGCTCGCGGTTGACTCGTCTGATTATAAAGTTCATTGTCGTAATCAGAAGGTGATAAGAAGTCTTGTTTGACTAATTATTTGAGTTCAATATAGAGATTAATTAATAATGTTGGCGCATAAGGCAATTTATTTATTTTAAAGAAAGGCAAGATTTTGATCTAATTAGCTCTTATAAAAAAAAATTTAAATTATAATATAAATAATTATAAATGAATTGAGCTAAAAAAAAATTTTACTTTTAAATATTTTAATAATATTATATATCATCCTTGATGCTAGCTCGAAAATTTGTTGTGATAGGATAATAGATTATTTTATTAGCATTACGTGAGAATTTAACATACAGATAAAAGAAAACAATCAGTTGAGAAATCAGAAGTTTTTGCGTAGAAAACCTGAAAAGGAAAAAAATCACACGATCTGACGCGGTTATAAATATTTATTCTAATGTAATGATTATAGAGACCTCTTATCCCAAAGGCGGGAAAGGATTACAAAATCTTTGGAATTATAGTGTCGACGTGCAAATTAACTCGTAATTGTAAGAATTGGGCAAGGGTCAAGGGCGGCAAGTGGTGGTCGATTGCGTTAGCGGTGATTGATAGCGGTCAACGATAGTTAACAACGGTCGACCACGGTCAGTGATGATCGACGATGATTGTCAATTGTGGTAGGAGTGATGCTGAAGTTTAGCTTCTCAAATTTTCAAGCTCTTCTTAAGGCTTCAAGCTCTCCTCCTATGAGAGGAGTTGGGCTCTATTAATAGTATTTTGGGTGCAATTAATGCAGGAATATGAAACATTTTGATTGGATGGTCCAGAAAGCTTTCTTTAATCATACGTCGTTTGATGGACATTAGAATGTCTTAGCGATGTCGAAATTGAGCGATCATAGGCTCGTTGGATTTGTCTTGTCGAGACGCTCGATTCGACTATAACCTCTCTAGATTCGACATTCATTGGACAATTCAAATATGCTCATAAAGCTTTCACAAGTGATTTAATAGCTTGATCTGAACTTGATTTTACTCAGATTGGACTGATTTTGACATCATTGGGTTCGTCTCATTGAGGTGGTTTGTTTGACTATAAGTTTGCTGAAATTAAAGCTCCGGAAGACTCTTAATTTAAATTTGAATATTTTTTGCTAAAAGATTGTCTAAAGATTCATGTCATGTCTGAAGATTCGTGTTGAATGATGTATATTTGTTGGTGGGGTATCAACTCTTTTTGATTAATTGGCTAAGTTTGGTGATCATTTTGTTTTAAACTAAACATTAGAAAATGAAGTTTTAGAGAGCAAATAGATAAAAGAGAGCATGGGAACACGAATTACAATATGCACCACCATAGCATTCAATCATATAAGATGAATACAAAATGTTCAAGGAATGTTTATCTAAATTATAAAAATTTGATATAATAAATTTGTTCATAGTTGTATGCTCAATTAGTTGCCTGAGAAGCCTTCCAACAAATCTTGGTTGAAGAGCAAGAGTATCCCTTAATTCTACAAGAACAGTTAGCAATATCCCCCAATGTTGAAGAATATATTACATATGTTATACGTATGTACATACACGACAAATCAAGCCTCTGCAGATATGATTTGTCGTCCGTATAGCGTTTGTAATATTTTCTCGCATTTTTGGCGCAGAAATTTTTCTTATACTTCTTACATGGCTTGTAGCGAGTCAAGGTAGCTTCATCTAACTTCATATTATTTCACCTTATTATAATATTTTTTATTGTATAATGTAAAAAAAATGATCTTAATCTATTAAGATGAAATGAAAATATAACACTTAATAGAACACAACTAAGAAAAATGATTCATATTACTTGCCCTACTTAGTGGGATAAATATTAGGTGTTAGATATGTAAATACATACAAATCGAGTGCTATGCATGTAAATCTAAACTTTAATTTCATATGAAAAGATAGATTATGCTGAAATCCAGTTCGCTTGCATGAGTAAATGTGCTTTTGCTGTAAAAATCATAGTTTTGGGGTGAGACAAGTAACTTCCCCTTCCTCGTCCTTCGCTCGTCCTTCGCTGTTATAGCTCCGCCATGGCGACAGCACTTCGGTGGCGCTCTCGCTTCATCTCCAAATGTTTCCTCCTCACCTCTCGCCGCCTCTCATGTTCATCTCTTTCACAATCTACCCCCTGCTTCTTACCAAACGCCCTTAACCCCCGCCCCATTCTCAACCCACATCTATCAACCTTTCTCCGTTCCCCGACCTCCATTGCTCCTCTCCCCCGCTTCATCCTCCGTAGTTCCTCCTCCAGCTCAAATACCAACAATCCCACCTCATTCGACTGGTCTGACGACGACGACGCCGTCGAGCTCAGCAAGACGAAGATCAAAGATGGGGCGAAGGGTAACAAAACCCTGCCCCCTCCTTACGACCCATTCAACAAAAAACCCGTAATTGAGGAACCCAAAGACCCGTCCAATCTCCAAGAAATCTTTCACAAAATGCGCACTGATGGCCTCACCAATAATGCCATCAAGATGTTCGACGCTTTGTCTAAAGACGGTCGCACCCATGAGGCCCTCGAGCTCTTCGCAGTTATCAAAGATAAGGGTAATATGCCGGATGTTGTCGCCCACACGGCCGTGATCGAGGCCTACGCCAACGCCGGCGGGCACTCCAAGGATGCAATCCGCACCTTCGATCGAATGCTCGCTTCCGGCGTTTCTCCTAACGCCTACACTTACGCCGTCCTAATCAAGGGGCTTGCGAAGGACTCCAAACTCCCGGAGGCGAGGAAGTTCCTTCTTGAGATGATGGAAAAGGGAATGCAGCCCAATGCTCAGACCTACTTGGTCGTCTTCGAGGCTTATATTCGTGAGCAGGTGATTGGTGATGCCCGGCTTCTGCTCGATGAAATGAGAGGTAAGGGTTTTCGGCCAGATGAGAAGGCTGTGAGGGAGAATCTTGGCAAGCGAGGCCAGCTTTTCAGAGCTATTATGAACCTTCTCTTCGGCAAGTGAAGCAGCTGGAAGCTTTTCAACCGTGCTTCATGATGTGTTCGATGAAATGTCTGTGCAAAAAAATGTGTGAGTTATTCTCCTCGCATGGTATCGATTGTTTTGTAGTTTTTTTATGTCAAAGTTAGTTAATTTTCTTAACTTTATATGATCTATAAGCTCTTCCCTTATTGTGAATTTTGTCTTTGTTTGCCTTGATAATGAAATCTGTTATGTTGTTCATCAATCCAAACATGATCAAACAAGACCTTTGTTTTTAGCTTAGTTAAATTAGAAAGGTTGTGAAAATTAGTTGAAATTTGTGCTATTTATTAAGTCGAATGCGATTAAATTCGAAAAATGAACTTTTTTAATATCTCCAATGATGTCCTCCGCTTCATACTAGAAGATATGAGTCCATATGGATCATTTTCAAATGATGAATAGTACTTGACACTCCTTGTAAGTGGACTTGCAAAACATTACTAAAACTAAAGCATGGTCCTAGAATTCTAAATGTAACAAATTTTAAGCCTCAAAGTCGAACGTCATTTTGCAACAAATTTTATAATGAGTGTAATGTCCCTTAAGGAGAGCCTTAATTCGGACGAGGTATTACTTAGGGTGACAACTTACTTCTAAAGGATAACTAGGGGTGGCCTGCAGCTAGGATTCAATGATGATTATTGTTTAATTCTTAGCTCAGTAATGAAAGTGGGTAAGTTAGAAACTAAAATTAATTAAAATATCAAAGTACTCATATGCAAACTAGTTATTTACAAAAATAGATTTTATTAATATCAATATCATTGCATTATTGTTTGCGAAATGTCAGTGGTGACCTACTTGATGTGAGCTCGGCTCATCAAACTGAATCGTGCCAACAAGAGAATTTATGATTCAAGTTATGATTGATCATCAAAGATTAACTATCTATAAACTTTTCTTTTCAAGGACATAGATATGCTTGGAAGACATTTATAGGTTATCTGTATCATACACTAACTAGCTACAAACCATTAATAGCCCATCATATTGTAGTATTAGTGAAAGTCATTGATTGTAACTATATTATATAGTTGATATGCTTATATCAAAAGAATCGTATATAATAATCAGGATGTAAATTAATGTACCTCAATAAAATATAACTTGACATTATTACAAAAGAAACCACTTACAATCCACTGAAAATACAACTTCGGATGAAAACATTATACCGTACTCATTTAAAGTCTCACCTTTCGTTGAAAGCAATACACTTATAAATACAGTTAGGTGACCAATAAGCCAAGTATTCTACACAAAACCTACTATTTGATTCAGTGGATGGAAGAAAAAACATTGTGTACTTATTGGTTATTATATTTTGTTGAGAAAATAAGGGCGAAGAAAAACAGTAATCGACACAAATCCAGAAGAACACAGAGATTTAACGAGGTTCGGCAAAGATGCCTACGTCCTCGGGAGCAGAGCGGCGAGTTACTTTCAATATTCAGAAAAGGGTTACAGAATAGAGGGATACCTCCTGGGGTTACTAACAGGCCTATTTATAACCCCAGGAGTAATCCTTAGGCACAATATGTAATTACAACATTGCCCCTGTACCAAACCGCGGGGCTTTGCCCCCGCACCCC